AACGTGGTAGCTGATTCGCTATCAAGACACATAGCTCCTGTGACGACTCTACCTAGGTTCACCCTGTCACAGCTATGGGCAGAACAGTTACAGGATCCACTATGGTCCAAGGTTATATATGCCTTAGAATCGGGAGATGAGGTAAATTTGTCCAAATCACCTCTACCACTCTCACAGTTTGAGCTGCGGCACGACATACTATATCGCTCAGTGAAAACACAACAAGAGTCAATCTCTCCAATTGTTATTCCTACATCATTAAAGGAATACATCCTCATCCTCTTCCATGATGCACCCCAAGCTGGGCATCCAGGGTGAGGCAGATGTCTAGCAGAAATTAGACAAAATTATTATTGGAAAACTATAAGGACCAACATCGTGCACCACATTGCTAAATGTTTATCTAGTGCAAAACAAAAAGGAACAACGATGGACGCAGCTCCAATCTTAGAATACCTGACGCCGGAACGTCCTTGGGATACAGTTGGGATCGATTTATTGCAACTACCAAAAAGCCACCAAGGCTCTAGTTACGTACTTGTCTGCGTTGATCATTTCTCTAGATTTGAGGTACTAGCAGACCAAGTCCGCCGAATGAGTGGCTCATGCATTAGTCACTCTCGGATAACAGGACAGAATTTAAGAATCAACTCTTAGCTGCAATATGTCAACAATATGACACCACACAAACCTTCACAACCTCCTACCATCCATCTTCAAATGGGTTGGTCGAGCGTACAAACAGAAAAATTCTTGAGATTCTCCGACGTGTGGTGAATCCGATGCATAGTTCGTGGGAGGGCTGGCTCCATAGGTTGCAGCGTCCATCAATGGACCTATAAAGAGCTTTACAGGCAAATTGCCAAACTACATAATTTAAGGTACCGATATACGATTACCCTACGATCTACTATCAGGAACCCCAGAACCTGTGTACAACATGGATGACTGTGCAAAGAAGCACATCAATGTTTTCACAAGCATCCATGGAAAAGTACGAAAACACTTAGCAGCCTCGAGTGCTGAAAAAGATCTGCAAGCAACATAAAATAGCTAAGCCTATAACATATAGAAATAGGAGACAAATTAATGATAAAAGCGCCGGAACGCACATCAAAACTTTCGCCGAAATTCACAGGTCTGTACATGATTAGAGTGAAAGAACATGGAAACAAATTCCAAGTTGTTGAGCCAACGTCAAATGTCACAGATATAGTACATGTAGATAGAATGAAAAAAAGTCAGCAGAGACTTAGTTGGGACTCCTAATGTCAGTCAGGAACATCCTACTTCTACGACAACGGTTGCACAACAAAATGTCACAATAGACAGTGCATATCGTCAAAAACTACGATCGGCAAACAAAAATCGTTAATTATCCTAGCCTCTTCCAGACATGGCTCGGATATCACTACTACTGTTGGTCTGGAGCGTGGTGACAACAGCCGCCTCCCCAGCAGACGTCGTCAAACACTTTGCTTTAGCTGCCCCACTAGGCAAAGTACTGGTAGTACAAGACATTGTAACTGTCAAGTACGGGCTCCATGATTAATGCGCATGCCAGTACATATAAAGTCAATAGCTGTCCACATGGAAGCAGCTATGAAAACTCTATAAGATCTCGAACATAAATCTACAATCTCTACAACAATCCGTCAGACCATCTCTCTTCAACACGACCGTATGAATAGTCTACTCAAGCGAGTAAATCACTTCAAGGGAAAGCTCCCTATATTTCCTGTGGTCATCTGGAAGAATGTACATTCTCAGCTGCGTCAAAAACGTGGTCTGTTTAACTTTGTAGGGATAATATGTAACACCTTGTTTGGTACGGCAACCGTCGAAGATGTAGCTAAATTAGGGAATAAAATGAGTGCAGTTTCAGAAGCGGTTAAGAACAAAATAGGGCCATTGAGCAGTCCTACAAGGCCGTACAAAGTCTGACCTCTCATATGAATGCTATTGTTGACGAAACTAATCAACTAACAACTGTTGTCCAGGGAATCACACGGTCAGAATCTACACTGGAATGGCTACTCTGCTTCACTGAATACATACATGCAGCCGAGGCCTCGGTACAAGCTTTCATAGAAACCACTAAGAGGCTCATAGCTGATCTTGTAAATGCAGGGTTAGGTTGTTGCCAGTTGGTCAACTAATTGCCGCTTTACATATATATATAAAACTAAATATCATTTAACTTCTTTCTTTCAGGAGCATGAAGTGGAATATTATTAGCCCTTATTAGAAGCAACATTAACACACAGGGAAATACTAATACACATTCCACTAAAAACACACCCAAAAAATTATGTATGGCATTTGGAATTATTATGAAAGCGAGTGGGGGACTAGCTATTAATTCTGAACAAACAAACAGAACTAGTAGTTGTATCAGAGGATTTTTCATTAGTTGCTGAGACTAAGCATGAAGTCCTAAATCATTATAAGTCAACATATTTACACTTGCATGTTTGTCCTGCGTATGCTTTCGCTTTCACCCGGGCTGCTGAGGCTACATGTGTGAATTAGGTATACTACAAACTAATGCCTCTACAGCTCTACAACAATTAGTATATATTCCAATGCCACATAGGTTAGTGTTTCACGCACATGTCAATAATGTGCAATATTTCTTTTTCCCAAATCAAACCAGTGTGATACTTATATGTCAGGATGTAGGCAACATTTAGTAGTAAAAGGTTATCATATAGCACCGGACTATTGTGAAATTAGCAGTAGTGCAATCACAACCTTGCCTGCTCGCCATCTTCTTGCATTTGTCACAAACATAACTTCTGAACTGGTTCCCATACCAATTACCCTAAATATAAGTTTCAGTAATCTTCATAGTGTTTCTGATAAACTTAAACTTCTATCTTATATTAATGAGACACAGTTTCCCAACTTACAGGATTCTCTTCCTTTACATTTATCTTCCGGTATAATCATACCTGGTTTCATTATACCTACCATCATATTTATCAGTTCCTCGATTGTTATGATAATTTGTTACATGAAGACTTCTTCTAGGTACACAATAGTTTCTAAGAAGACTTTTCGGAAGGAATTCCAAAGGCGTGTGCACGAAGAAAAAGTTTAGCTAAAGCACACTTTCTTGTAACAAGGTTCGGTACACCTAGGCTTTAAACCGTGTGGTCTCGGTTGGAGGTAATTGAGTGGTGTAACAGCACCATTTGCATTATATAAATATTTGGTATTATAATATTCTTAGCCTGTTTCTTTTTAATGTCCTTATGCATCGCCTACTTTACCTTCTTTCTGACATTCCTGGTACCACAGTTACCTGTTACGCAGATTAAATCTGCATTCACTCAGAGTCGCCGGTAGATCTTCAACGCCTCCTCAACTCATCCTCTCCCCAGACAAGAGTGGGATCTTTTCTCCTCGTAGCCCGGGGACACCAACAGAATTCACTGTACATCTACCTGGGTGCACATGTACGAACTACTCCAGCTACACCTGTACGACAACGTGTCCATCCCATCGTCCGGAACCTTATAGATCGACTGCAACAGCTTCTAACCCCTCTTCCATGCCTCACCAACAATGTTTCCGGGATTTCTATCCTTGTAACCAGAACTGTTTACATTGTTTATCTGATCTGTTGTCGACTACCTTTCTCCTGCCCTATGTCAAGTTCCCCCAAAATCTCTAGTTCCCCTTGAAAAGTTTCAAAACAAAGTTATGAGATTTATCCTGGGTTGTCCCACCTCCACTAGGATAGTCAACATGCAAACTGAACTCAATCTCCCTTCCCTTGATGAGATAATGTCTCCTGCTTCACTGTAAAACGTCTTCACTCTCCCCACCTTGCCCCCATTATTCTTATGTCATTAGCACCTCCCTTGACCCAATTTCAACTCGGCCTCTACTTCGGTCGGGTGGTCTCACCCTCATTAAAATATTGTTTTCTATGGTTCAGAACCTCGATATATATGTACACGTAGCAGAGGATGATCACGGTCCTCCACCCTGGAGGATTCCCTGTCCAGCAGTCACCTTTACTCACACCACAAAGGCGGACCCTCCTCTACTTCAGAAACAATTAGCTCTGGAGACCATAGACAGAGTCTCTACCTAAGTCCCTGCTGGACACCATCTATACACCGATGGTTCCCTACAGGCAGACGGGAGTGCGGGGTGCGCTCTCTTCTTATTGAATGTGGACCCACAGGCAGGAGGTAGGTCCGCCGTAGACTTCCGAAGTGGTCGAGCTCAACCTACAGTGAATTACGTGAACTCATGGTTACAGTTAATCTCCTCCTTCAGATGAGATTGAACTGTATAATCATTTGTGATTCTCAATATGCCCTCCAGGCCCTCTCCTCCTCTAAGCCTTTCTGCCTTCCTTTAATTCAACAGTTGCTACGTCTATAAGCTTTAGCCCATGGTAATTCTCTTGTCATACATTTGTTGTGGGTTCCATCTCATGTTGGAATTAAAAAAAATATTAAGTCTATGCAACCGTTGTAACGGTTTATACGAATTAAAAAAAAGATTACAGGACACTGGCTGGACATACGCATGGCATGAGGTGGTCATCAGCTGGACATCGTTGTTTTACTTAAACATAGTATATCATTCATTTTTATTTTGGGATATTTTATATTTTAAGTCGTGTACCCCAGTGCTAATGTGCGAGGAAACACTGCTACGAGCATCAAACACAGTCATATAACCATGAGAAGACGCTAATTGACAAATCCTTCACTGCTGTCGTTGTTCAAGGTCAGGCGAGATTGAAGGCACGACAGGAAACGAGACTACGTGATGGGTGTCTATGAAATATCAGATGGTTTCGTGGGTTGTCTAATGCAATGGTCAATGATCATCTAAATGCAATGTATTTAGACAACCAATGAAACTATCTGGTATTTCATAGACATCCATCACGTAGTCTCGTTTTCTGTCATGCCCCCATTGTCAGCTGACCTTGAGCTGGACTCCGAGTACAGCAACAGCTAAGGATTGGCCAAGCGCCGAGTCATGGTTATACAACATATCAGGGTGGTAGTGTAGAGTGTAGTATTTGTCAGTGATCATAAATATTCAGATTGTGAGGAACACTGCGAGAGAGTGTGTGGCTACCGTTCTTTACCACCAAAGAAACCACCAACTCGTCGTCTTCTTAAAACTCGAGGCTCTTGGTCTCATCTGTGTTTACTGAAAAGCTGATTAAGTAAGTGTGATCACATGTTCTAAAAGGCAATAATTGTTTTCAGATATAACACAATAATAATATATTTTACCAATGATCATTGGGATAGCTGATAATATACTGTTGTTGACCAATCAGAATTAAAAAAAAATTCAAAATAAGAAATGGTTAGGATTGGGATTATTTTGGGAAGGAATCAAGAGCACTTTTTTCTTGGAATTTGAAATTAACTTTATGAAATAGTCTAGCAGGTCCAGAATTATAGAAAAAAACAGCATCGATATCTTCCAGAAAGTCAGATATGGGAGACATTGTTTCAAAGAGGAATTAGCGTAATTCTTAATAAAATCACAGCAATTTGACACCAGAGATCCTTAATTAGCGTTTAGAGGAGTACCTGTATTATAGTGAACAGTAGTGAGAGGTGAGTGTTCTTGAGCTATGGTGATAAGCGCCAAGGATAACGAAAAAGTCTATAAAAAGTTCAGATAGTTTATCCTCCTTAATGGGATTTTCCTTGTGACTGACATTAAGCTCTACTTTGAATTTCACTTCTTTGTGATCGCTGTTAGTTAGTTCGTTCCTTACATCGACATTACTAATGAGGTTCTCACTGTTTGGCAGAACTAAATCTAGTATATTATTACCTCGGGTGGGTTCGGCTTTGTTGACCCAGTCCTGAACTATTTCAAGAAAATCTTCTGATTTTGAGTTAGGTTAGGTTAGATTAGTGTTAGGTTAGGTTAGAGTTGTTAGTCTTCATGCTATCTAAAACAACATGAACTAGATACGAACACCGAGATCACACCTTGGCCACTTGAGCCACTCACCCGTTATCTAGTTCAATAAGACGTCCCACACTTAACAGTCAGTGAGCACCAGACACTGACTACTGAGCCGATGTTACTTGGGATCATGTAAAGATAGTCTTCTGTTTATTTCATGTAGTGATTAGACACCCTAATATTGCCTGGGGGTTAGGTTAGGTTACGTTAGGTTAGGCTAGGTTAGGTTAGGGTAGGTTAGATTTTGTTAGATAGGTTAAGTGATCCTTTAATAACAGACCAGATAACCCAATTCACTCATGATTATAATAATTCTAAATCTTACGATTCTTTCAGCTCCAGAACTGATATAAAATTGACCCTCGGAATCATAGAAAGATAAATTGTTACACAAGGCATAATCATCACCAGATAAGACCCTTCACTCGAAACCTTCATCTTCTCTATCCATGAGAACACAAAGTTGCTGTTGTCTCAGCGGAATTCTCACCCAATTTTAGAAACCATTTTAATTTCGTAGGTAAAATGAGTCGGTAATATTTGCTATCATGTCTTTAATTCAGAAAAAAATATTCAAGTACCTTCAAAAGAGTCAGTGCATGCCAATTTTATTTGCCAATCATGCGTAACAGTGAATTAACCGACCGCCTAACTTTGTAAATAAAGCTGATGAGAAGATTCGCGGAGGGTGAGGTAATGTGAAGTAATCCCTCTCTACTTAAGGCTTCAGTCACTGATAATTTTTTTTTTTTTTTTTTTTAGGTTAAGGTGGGGAAAGGATGGAAGGCATGCTGGGGCTCAAGGCACAGCCAGACATGAGGGATGGAGAAGTCACAACATATAGTCGTGGGCGGGATGGTTGGAAAAAAAGTTTAATGAGTTAAAGAGAGGGGGGACGACACCCCTTGTTTTACATATTACAGAGTTTATTGGCTAACTAAGCTAACCTAGGATTTAGGATGAGGTTGCACAATGGTTAATTTGGTAGACAATGACAATTACATGTTTTTTTAAATCTTATACTGTATTACGTTATGGACTCACTAGATTGTGACTTGTTAAATGTGAACTTATATCATCTAAGTTTTAATCTAAAGTGGATCACTGTGGCGGACATACAGTAGATGGGTCGGGGGTTGGGTTATTGAAGTGCGGGCAGACATCGTGGCCACCAGGCGTGGGGTCGCCCTCCGTTGATGTCTTCCCCGCTGAAACAATCTGGGGTGCTTAAATATGTAATAATCCGCCACTTCTACTGGGTGTCTAAGGTAAAGAAGTGCACTGTCGTCTCATCAGTTTATACCGACTCTGGGTTGTCACAGTTGTGAATATATGAGTTGACTTAGATGATAGTCTTCCTGTTCCAGATTGTAACCATTGTCCGTCGAGTGTTACATAGTGTGGGTGTGGCGCCATAATGTTGGCCCGAGATTATTAAATGTCTCTACACTGTTGTAATGGTTATTAAATGTCTCTACACTGTTGTAGTGGTTATTAAATGTCTCTACACTGTTGTAGTGGTTATTAAATGTCTCTACACTGTTGTAGTGGTTATTAAATGTCTCTACACTGTTGTAGTGGTTATTAGATGTCTCTACACTGTTGTAGTGGTTATTAAATGTCTCTACACTGTTGTAGTGGTTATTAAATGTCTCTACACTGTTGTAGTGGTTGTTAAATGTCTCTACACTGTTGTAGTAGTTGTTAAATGTCTCTACACTGTTGTAGTGGTTGTTAAATGTCTCTACACTGTTGTAGTGGTTGTTAAATGTCTCTACACTGTTGTAGTGGTTAATAAATGTCTCTACACTGTTGTAGTGGTTGTTAAATGTCTCTACACTGTTGTAGTGGTTGTTAAATGTCTCTACACTGTTGTAGTGGTTGTTAAATATCTCTACACTGTTGTATTGGTTGTTAAATGTCTCTACACTGTTGTAGTGGTTATTAAATGTCTCTACACTGTTGTAGTGGTTGTTAAATGTCTCTACACTGTTGTAGTGGTTGTTAAATGTCTCTACACTGTTGTATTGGTTAAATGTCTACACTGTTGTAGTGGTTATTAAATGTCTCTACACTGTTGTAGTGGTTGTTAAATATCTCTACACTGTTGTAGTGATTATTAAATGTCTCTACACTGTTGTAGTGGTTATTAAATGTCTCTACACTGTTGTAGTGGTTATTAAATGTCTCTACACTGTTGTAGTGGTTATTAAATGTCTGTACATTGTTGTAGTGTCGGGCCATTAAAATTCGCTGTTCTATCAATACAATGAAACAGTTACCTTATATAATTTGCTATCGATGTTGTACAGTATATATAATTATCTCCGCAGTTTTATGTTTTCATATTTAAATATAACAATCCTGCTTGTAAATATGAGGCGAGTTGTGACAAGCGCAGTAACTGATTTAATGCAGTTTTTTTTATTACTGTATGTAGTAGCCACCAGCAGATAAGGCAAGTTATTGCCTTACCTGCTGGTGCACAGGGACTTTCCGATCACCCTATACTGTATTTATTAATTGCCTGGTATGATTTATGAATTACGTCACTGATGTTCATATAAGATGTCAATTACTATACGTAAACAAGATGGAAAGTCTGTACAGTATAGTCGACTTGTTCACGTAATGGAAATCTTACATTATTGACTGAGAATTGTTGGCCAAAACTACCTCCAGTCAAGTCTTAAATCCAGTATATAAAAAAATTGAAGCTGTGTCATCCGAAAAAAGTTATCTGAACGTTGTGATACATTATAACTTGAACACAATCAGATGCGGTGGTGGGTGTGTGTGGCGGCGTGTGTGGTGGCGCTGCAGGTGGCTGAGGCTGGCAGGATACTCTTCATGGCGCCCATCTCCTCCAAGAGCCACAAGAACTTCTACATGGGCATTGTCAACGCCTTAGCTGACCACGGTAACCAGGTGAGAGAGAGAGAGAGAGAGAGAGAGAGAGAGAGAGAGATTTCTGGTGTTTAAGGTAAGCACAGCACATGTAATATTTTTTGCTTAAATATCACTAATTATACCTTTATACTCGTCATATTTTCCAACTTACAGTACTACCAACTAGCAGCTCTTGTACGCCGTCATCCACCTTATAATTAACTCATCATTACTCAGAACTCAAAGAATCACAATTTTTTTTATTCTTTCTTCCATCATCAAATTAAAGATTTGCTTCGCCTTAAAACCATTATAACTCTTCGTTTGCACAAATCAGTGCACACTGTACACTGTGGAGTCCAGTGGGCTACAAATACTTAAAATAAATTAAATAAGTTCCAGATCACCGATGAATCCCTAAACCCACCAGACGCATTAACTGACTGGAAAGGAACATATAAATGACGTTATACATAAAGTATACTTTTATATTCCCTGATAAATCGTTCCAAAGTGGGTGTTGATGGTGTAATAGGCCCCTGTCTCATCAACAGAACGTATTATATAAATGGGTCAATACATCTGATATTATATTCAGATTCACCACCCTGTAACTTTCCACTGTCTATGAGTAAGACATGAGATTGACACGTGAGCGGGCAACTTACCCAAGAGGGCGAGACCCATAGCTCAGCATTCCTGTAAGCACGCACTGCGATGCCCCTAAGCTTCAGTAGCTCACCTCAAGTCTTATCGTAAGGACGTGACCTAACGTTTATCATACATAAACGCCGTCCCTTTCTCATTCACTCCTAGACAGTGAGACTTACGGTTGATATACACTCAGGAATTATATCTACAACCTTTTATAATAAAACAAAGGAACTACCGTTTGGGTTTCGTTACTTAAAACCCAAATATAAATATGTGTGAACGGACTGGTTAATTGGACAAGCAGCCGATTCATATAGGTGGCAAGCGGTGTGTACGGATTCTTCAAACTGGTAGTCGTATCATCCGTCTGTGTCTTGTGAAAAACAAGAAACCACACAGCAGTGACGCGTTACATAATCCGAGTGTTTAAAACTATATCCCGTATTGAGACGATATGTAGTGAGCGCTCCTTATCTCTGTCACATACAAATACGTGCAGAATTCGTAATATACAAATATTACAGCCTGTTGGTACATATCCAGATTGAGCCGGTTGAGATAGACTCCACTCAGCATTCCCTAGACATTACAGTGTTGCAGTGTTGAACAACAGTTTCGTAACCTGGAATTCAATTGGTATTTCACTAGCAGCTGAGCAGTATTGTTGTGTCGTCAGCGCGAATTACGAATTCCGGTGTCATCATACAGATCTCCATATATACGTGGTCTGTGAAGAATTGGCACACGGCAGTTTTCGCCAGCGAACGACCAGTGTGATAACCAATCATCTGTTTTCTGATCGCCGGAGGAGGAACTCACCTAAATCAAGTGGACTCGTCTCTCACCAAAGCAGAAGCGTCATCTCGTTGCCAAGGAAACCAGCAGCAGCGCACGCATCCTAGGAAGAGGCAACACCCACCACTCCACTCAGAACTCTTGAAGGATCACATTTTCTATACAGACGTACTACTCTGTATAAATAGGTATTTAAATTACATAGTTTTACACACATGAACACGTTCGAGAGATATCTTCACACCGATAGGTTCGTCGGATAGGATTATTTCAATGATAAAGTGTCGAATGTAAGATTAATGTATTGAAATCCTATAATTTACAGTAGTTTGTAAGTGTCTGTCTACTTATTGATAGTTTAATAATTAACTACAAAACATATTCATTTGTCTTGTAAATGAGAGGCAAGTGATCTACTTACTGTTAAGTATTCATTGACCCAAGGGGGCTAATAGATAATTTCTAAGTTTCCCATGTCTAATGTAGATGAAATCGAACGCCTAGCGCAACTATTTGCTGATAACCAACTCATCGATGATCAAGCCCAGACTGACATAGATTTTGAGTATGGAACACAGTTAAATGAGTCGGTAGGAAGTAGTGAGAAAGTTATAGACGAATCATTTGACGACTTAAACCGTCGTACCCTACGGTCTGGTAATCACTATAGTACCTCACCTAAGTATACTAAAGCAGTTACCCCTGTTACAGGTGATGGTGTGTCTGTTGCTAAATCGGTAACAACCTTATTAACCCAGCCTTCTGTTAAGAGTAAGAATACTAATTTGCTTAATACTAACACTAAAATGGCTTCGTCTAACCCTCACACCATTACTAATACCACACCTAAAGCTGATAATGTCATTAATATCATGCAGCGCGGCGATTATGTTCGAAATTTCACGGGACAAGACGATTATAGGGTCGCACATTTTATTCGTGCATGTGAAGATAGCATGCGCAATAGTCACATAACGACTGACGAAGATAAGAAAGCATATGTACGTTCCCATATAACGCAGGGTTCCTATGCAGGCGGTCGTTTAAATGCGTTTGGTTCTTTCAACAAGGCCATTAGCCTGTGGATGATAAGCTGTCACAAAAGTTTGTTTAATTCCATATTGTAAACATATATGCTCTATTAGCTCATTCTTGAACTCTGTTCCATTATCAGAGAGTAGAACTTTAGGCGTAGTATATGGACATATGAGATTCATCACTAATGCATAGGCTACTGCTTCGGCCGTTTTGCTTTTCAGTGGGACCAAGACCACGAACCTGGAAAAATGATCCACACACACTAAGACGTATCCTGATCCCTGATGACTCATTGGGAGTTGTAACAAGTCAACAGCGACTGTGTCAAACGGACGGTCTGGTGTAGGATATTGTAGAATCGGGGCAGGTGATCCTGTTGATCCTTTATGTTGAGCACATGCCAAACAATTAGCTATGTGTAATTCTATGTCTTTCTTCATCGTGTTCCAGAAATACTTCTTTCGTAAATCCGCTAGGCATTTATCACGACCTTGGTGACCTGCTTGTGGGACATCGTGGAACAATGTCATTACTGCTTTGCGCAACGTGTCAGGTACGACTATTTGAGACACATTACCCTCAGGAGATTTTCTCGTCCTATGGAGTATGTTATGTCGTAATTCAAACTGACTTAAGGGAAGAAATAACTTGGGGAGTTTAACATCCTCGCCCGATTCGAGAGCAAAAATAACAGCTGACCAATATGGGTCGCGTCGTTGCTCATCTTCCAGCTGCGAAAGAGTGAATGCTGATACAGGCATAACTGGTGCTATATTTCTTGACAGAGCGTCGGCGACAACATTCGCCCTCCCAGGTAAATACCTAAATTCGGGGTCAAACTCTTGAATTGTCAGATACCAGCGTGCTAATCTGCCTGATAAGTTTCTGCCATGGAACAGTTCGGTGACTGCCGCATGATCAGTAAAAACAGTTATCTTGTAGCCAAAGATAATGTCTTTGAACTTCTTAAGTGCCCACACAACGGCTAACGTTTCTAAATGCGTCACCGAATAACGTGTTTCAGCATCGATTAGTTTGCGACTTGCAAATGCTATCACTCTAAACTTCCCACCGCTGCCACCTATATGAATCGGCTGCTTGTCCAATTAACCAGTCCGTTCACACATATTTATATTTGGGTTTTAAGTAACGAAACCCAAACGGTAGTTCCTTTGTTTTATTATAAAAGGTTGTAGATATAATTCCTGAGTGTATATCAACCGTAAGTCTCACTGTCTAGGAGTGAATGAGAAAGGGACGGCGTTTATGTATGATAAACGTTAGGTCACGTCCTTACGATATGACTTGAGGTGAGCTACTGAAGCTCAGGGGCATCGCAGTGCGTGCTTACAGGAATGCTGAGCTATGGGTCTCGCCCTCTTGGGTAAGTTGCCCGCTCACGTGTCAATCTCATGTCTTACTCATAGACAGTGGAAAGTTACAGGGTGGTGAATCTGAATATAATATCAGATGTATTGACCCATTTATATAATACGTTCTGTTGATGAGACAGGGGCCTACGGCAATGGTGGTAAGTGTTGATGGCGGCGGGTGGTAAGTGTTGATGGCGGCGGGTGGTAAGTGTTGATGGCGGCGGGTGGTAAGTGTTGATGGCGGCGGGTGGTAAGTGTTGATGGCGGCGGGTGGTAAGTGTTGATGGCGGGTGGTAAGTGTAAGTGTTGATGGCGGCGCGGTAAGTGTTGATGGCGGCGGGTGGTAAGTGTTGATGGGCGGGGTGGTAGTGTTGATGGCGGCGGGTGGTAAGTGTTGATGGCGGCGGGTATGTTGATGGCGCGGGTGGTAAGTGTTGATGGCGGCGGGTGGTAAGTGCTGATGGCGGGGTGGTAGAGTGTTGATGGCGGTGGGTGGTAATTGTTGATGGCGGCGGGTGGTAAGTGTTGATGGCGGTGGGTGGTAAGTGTTGATGGCGGCGGGTGGTAAGTGTTGCGGCCTTTATCATGATACAGAGCGAACTGCCCGTCGTCGTCGGTGCAGACACACACACACACACACACACACACACACACACACACAAACCGACTTTAAATAGTTTGCCATGCATGAATTCACCCAAATTACAATTATAATTATTTCATACGATAAATGCAAAATTCCATATGTTACATACACAATATGTTGACAACAGAAATGCAAAGACCTTTAACAGAGTGAAATATATGTAACCATAGAAATTTATAACCATGATTGCACAACTGGCATCAACTATTCAACCAAGATTCCACGTGACATTTTGACCATTAATTTAGAAATAATAATTGAAATTGTATTATTATTAAGGTTAATACAAATTAATTATATCAATTGGTCAATTTTAATACACCTCTTAATTTTATCGTATTCACAATTATGCTTCATCACAACGATCGATACATAAGAGCATAAGAATGGAGGAAACTGTAGCGGGCCTATTGGCCCAGACTGGGCAGTCCCATTTACACCTAACCCCTATTGCTCATGTATCCATCCAACCTATGCTTGAAGCTATCCAGCGTATTCTCGTTAATGATGATGTTTTGTAACTTGTTTCATTC